AGTGATTAGTTTCACCTTAGTTTCCAGTTTTCTCAACTATTATGTCAGTGAGTAGTAAATCACTGTTCACTAAAAACGGTTACGCTTAACTGCCAAGCTAAATACTCTCGTCGTGATTCAAGTCACCTTGCACTAGACAGTGTGGAAATATAATTTTGTTTTTGATTTCAAGCTAAACGAAACTTTTCGTATTCTTATCACAATTTCATTAGATTTATGAATTCCCACAAGATATGAAGTGCTCCTACAAACTTAGTGACCATCTTACAAAACGAACCAATAAATATTATACACATAATATATATATATATATTACATATATATACATATATGTATATATATATATATATATATATATATATATATGCTTCACACAAACACATTGACATATGATTAAATATTAATGTAAATATGATATATGATATAACGTAAGTCAAAGAAGTAGAAGTGGGAAATATCCATTATCACTTTTATATACTGAATAGTTTGTCTAGAAAAGTACATCATGAAATATTTAAGCGGTGTTATCAAGTTAGCTGATTTATGGTTTGCAGAGCATAGACTTACAGAAATCATATGCATTAAAAATCAAGCCGCAAAACATAATCACAATTAAGAGAGCCTATTAAGATTCATACAACTATTTTAACCAAACAAAAGAAAACAAAACAGCACCAATGACTGTCAACGGGAGAAATTTGCAAGAGGCCACTTCCTTAACTTATCTGGAAAGCATCTTGTCAACCACAGCCAGCGGAATGGATGAAGATGTAAAAAATCAGCCAGAATCGAAAAAGGCAGGATACACCTTCATCAATCTGAAATCGGTTTAGAAATACTCTGCGCTCAGCATAAAGGACAAGAATCGGATTTTCAACACAAATGTGAAGTCAGTTCTTTTGTATGGGTCAGAAGAATGATTCACGCGTCGCGAAGATCATTTCCAACAGGTTTTAGACTTTTATCAACAGCTGCCTTCGCTGACTCCATATTGAAGATCAAATGGCCAGCCAGAAAGAATCAGCAACAAGAAAATATGAGAACAAGCTAACCAACAACCTATCGTTCGACAAATATGTAAGAGAAAATGGAGATGGATAGGGCACACACTGAAGAGAACGTAGAATGACGTTGCGAGCCAAGCCATCGCTCGAGTCGCACCCGAATAGGAAGCGACTAGTGGGTCGTCGGTGAGAGGGTGACATGGAGGAGATCTGTGAGAATGAGAGACTATGGGGAATCGTGGGGCCATGCAGTTAAGGAGGACAGCAGAAAACGGTGGAGATGTGTTGTTGCAGCCGTATCTTCCACTTGGAGCCCAAGGGAACAGTAATGATAATAATAATAATATATAATCAACTTAATGATAGCTTCTATAAGAGAAATTAAGTCTATGGAGAAAGGTTCGTTATGATATACACCTTGTACACTATTTCAGAATAAGACCATATTACACTCGAAACAGTTTAGTGTTTCACTTCCATGCAACAGCCGTACCAAGTTCCGCTTCGACGACCTGAATAACTGGTAAGGGTTAGAGATTGCATCCCACTTATTATTGAATGTAATAGACTTCACTAAACAATATCACGCAGGAAGCCTAATAACACCTGAAAACATCGGACAGCTGATTCGTTTCACTCATCTACTTTTACTAATGAACAGTGAGGGGAATATGGCAATACATATATTTCATGAATGCCTATTCATACAGGATTATTGGCTAACAAAAGGTATTCTGATAAACAGAACAACTCATATGATGGAGAAGATTTGTAGCTGAGGTGGATGATTTTGATGTAGTTGTGTTCTCTGAACTACTCATATAAGAAGACTCCCTATAAATACCTAGTAAAAAAGTAGTGTACATTCTTAAGCTAAAACATTCGATAAAGTGACAATCAACCATAAACTTGACGACTAGTGATCGTGCCGACAGGCTCCGATAAAAATGTGTATGTACCAATGGAAGACACTAGCATATAACCTTTCGAATTATGGCGCTGATGACAGCTGCTATCTTAACTTTGTCACGAGGCTTACAGATGCCTATGACTTGACGAGCTGTATTGACAGAAACGAATGCACCTGGAGTTCCTATCGTGCGGGGAAGATCGATCGATTAGCAGTTACTATGATAGGGTAAGTTGTTTATCAAATGTTGAGTCTGAAGGCGAGCTCTCTAAAAAACCAATCTGCCGTATATTTCTTATGGAATATGAGACAGGTTAAACTACCTAAAACAAATTCTTTATTATTATTGTTCCTTTGGGTTCCGAGTGGGACATAGGGCTAAACACATGCTTTGGATGTGTGTGTTATGTCTCTGGGACACCTGTGATAGGCCAGATTCTGGACATTTACTCATTCCTAACTTGTCAATGGAATTTTCTCAATGATTGTGAGCTGACTGGCTGTGTTTCAAAGTGGAACTTTGCACAAAAATGAAGGAGTTCAGGTAGCACAGCGAAGAACACAAGTGTAAGGAAGAAAGAATAGTAACATAAAGAAAAATGAGGATTGAAAGGGTCTGAAAAATTCAAAAGAATGAATGCATCTGTGTCATTGAGTCATATCACTGACAGTCTCGGGCAATCGATTCTTAGCATCTGGAGGACCCCAGGCAGTCTACATTTCCCCAAATGACTGAAACCGACAGTCAAATACATGGATTGATACCACGTCATCGTTCGACCATTCCAAACCCTTTCCCAACACAATCCTACGTCCATCAATATTGCTCGATGAAGAAGGCAATGGCTTTGCATGCGTCACGCGTATCCTAGCCATCTCAATTGATGCATCTTCACAACCTTATCGACTGACTTTCGTTCCTTACTCAACACTTTGCAATAAACCCCAGTATTATACAACATAATGTCCCAAACAACAAGGGAGGTGAAATGAAAACACATGTAGTCAAAGACAGCCAGCCCTCCCTTTCCACTTCCAATGGCAACGTCTCACAGCCATGGTTTTAGGGCGACAGTAGTGCTGTACAATGCATACATCTTTTGATCGGAAGACGAACATCAAGTCTACGCCAGATGACTCCAGCTAGTAAATGTCATAATAGCTTTTTTCTATCCGTGTTGAAATTTCGTCAGTAATCAGTATACTAAGGCTGACACAACTTCCTAAATGAGTCAAGTAGGCAACACAGTTAGTCATTTCACTCTCTACTCTTAAAAAAAGTTGGTGAAGATAAGTCCTGCAGAAACATTTTACAATCGATAGGGATAGGTGTGCTGGAGCCTACTCTCAATGTGCATTTTGTCAGCATCTCCGGATAGAACACGACAGTTCCCCGGTGACAACAGCATACTTTAGATAGGACGACACTACCCTCGTAGCAAGTCTATCTCTACGTAGCCGAGATGGACCATGGTCACTTCCATTAGTACACTTATGCAATTAAATAAGAATGCAGACATTCTTCATTATTGACGGGTACCACTGGTTTTTATTACTTCACAGTGTAACTCTTCGTAAGACCTTATACAGCAGGGTGAATCGAAGTAGGGTGTCTGAATTAATGTGCTTTCTAGACATTTTTCACTGTCAGACAGTCACAGAATTTCTCAGTCGACGAACTCAAATGACGCATTTAGGTCAAGAAATATAGCAAGTGTCCCAGAATGTGTCTAAATATGAAGATAGGGTCAATACGACCTCGTTCTGACCTTGAGTCTAACTGATTCCTAAGGGTTTGTTTCCACCAAATACAGCTTAGTCTACGCCTGATTACTGGAATCTCGAAATTCTGATAATACGTTAGTCGACCATATCCCCCTACGATTATCACAGGAAGACTCGTCTCCATCAATGCTTATAAACTGACATAATCAGTGATCTACGGCGGTCCAAAGGGACTTATCAGATATTTATTTTATTTTTAGATTACAGCTTAATGCCACACCGTATTTTCAGTACAAGTATGGAATTTCCAGCTTGGATATCGGTAGCCTAAATTTTGCAGGCCGACCATAGATATCGGGTGTGCGTCGGCAGGGGATAGAACCCCGGACCATGTGCATGGTCGGCGAGAGTCCTAACCACTGTGCCACCGACGTACAGATGTCACCTAACATCACAGTTAATCCCGGTTTCGAATCTTACACTACCTACACCATTACGGTAATATCGTCATTTCTCAAAACAAGTGTAACTAATACTCTAGTGTATGAATCGTCTAATCTGGTCAGCTGAGTGCTGACAGCCTCCTATCTGCAAACTTTTAAGTGTAACTCACTAACTTGACTGATGAAATTCTAATCATACGAATTTATAGCGCCAAAAATTGCCAGTCATCTTATTTTGTCGTCCAAATTTGCAGGCCTTAAAGCGTTCAATTTACACCACAATTAAAAACCCTGTAGTGTTATGACTTTGTGTTCTTAACTACTTAGTTCGCTTGAATAGCTCCTATTGCAGGCCTAAGTGGTACAGGTTTGTATCTCAAAGGGAACACCAGTTGCTTCTGCTTCATGGATACACCTGTAAGGGATCTAGTAGTGTGAAGGGTGGATGGACTCTGATTTTCCTACTGAAAATACATCCATGTAGTTAAGCTTCAACAGCCTCCACCAGGTAAGTCCTGATTACTACCCAGTCCACCTAGTTTAGATGATGCCCATCACTTCAAGATTCCAGCAAAAAAACGAATGGTTCCTCAACTTGTTTCGAACGTAGGTAACCAATGGAACACTGATCCTGACGTTGGTTTATCGTCTTGTGAATCACATTTCGAGAAAAATAAGCAAAAGGTGGTCGGTTTCAGTATGGGCATCTGGGCTTTAGTTGAAATCAAATATATCAACCAACACAGTCTGGTAGGCAGATACAACTGATCTAAACAACTGACTATTGTTTCATTGGTTCGAGTTTAAACTCATCTCAGAGCCCAATCAGTTCATACAAGCGGCATTGTAACCAACTATCCTGTTGAACCGGTAATATGTTTATAAAAATTCATCATTAAAAATATACAAAAATCTCTCTGCCAGTGATTTAAGCAAATGAATAACTGTTTTGAGATATATTTATTATCACATTCATTTTATCACATTTACGAACATTGAGATAAAGAAAACGTGTGGAACCGTAAATGTACGATAAAAGGAACATGGTAACCAAGAGGAACAGACACGACAATAAAGTTAGTGATAAGTTTTTTCCATATTACATAAAAGCATCAAATTGTGTTTGATTCATAAATAATGTTAGATAGCTGATTTACTGAAACTAACACGAAGACGCATTTTCTCTTCGATGGGATAATCATGCATTGCCTGAAACAAAACAAAAAACAGAACAATGTGAGAACAGAATATACTAGATAAAATGAATTCAGCACAACATCATAGACACAATTCCCTGTCTTTGTATCGATTCACTAGCTCATGTGTTGCCAATATATACAACCTGTATTGGCACAATAATATCTAAATTAGTTCATTAACCACTTACACACAACATGACTGTCGAAATTAGAATGCATATCAGTCAATGACAGATTATTCCTTCCAATTGCACAGCATTTGCAACTTTCATCAACAGCTGCCTTCGCTGACTCCATATTGAAGATCAAATGGCCAGCCAGAAAGAATCAGCAACAAGAAAATATGAGAACAAGCTAACCAACAACCTATCGTTCGACAAATATGTAAGAGAAAATGGAGATGGATAGGGCACACACTGAAGAGAACGTAGAATGACGTTGCGAGCCAAGCCATCGCTCGAGTCGCACCCGAATAGGAAGCGACTAGTGGGTCGTCGGTGAGAGGGTGACATGGAGGAGATCGTGTGGTGAGGAGATGAGAGACTATGGGGAATCGTGGGGCCATGCAGTTAAGGAGGACAGCAGAAAACGGTGGAGATGTGTTGTTGAAGCCCAATGTACCACTCTGAACCCAAGGGAACAAATTTAATAATAGTAAGTTAACTTATTGAGATATAGTGAGTGAGACCAAGGCGTTGAACGAAATCCCTTATGTACCTCCATTGTATAACAGTAGCCCCTGATATCAACTAAACAATCTTTGAACTGTGCATACATATACGCTTTTAAATTTGGTCTTTTTTTATCATCAATATGATACATTATCTTTTCAACTTATTGAAATGTATAGTAAATTTTGACACGCCTTCATTTTCTAATTACTCTCTCTTTATAAACTCTTTTTCTTGAATACACAAATTTCTATTTCTACGCAATATTAGTGAGCCGTTAGTCAGACTGACTGAAATGTAACCAAGTTTAAATTATGGAATATACAAAACACAACAGGTTTCTTTAAAATCGCTTTACAACTAACACGGTTCACACAGTAACAAAATAAAGTGCAATATTTGACAATTAACTCAATGATATAAAATCGAGGCGCACACAAGTTACTAATCATGATTTAGCAGGTAAAGTAAAAATCGATCATAAAATAACTACGAATTGATAGTAATCTTGCAATATTCATCTTCTTAGTGCCTTATTCAAATTTACCCAAGGGAGTAACTGTTTCAGATAATAAACTGACTCAGTATTTAAAGCTTGTATTTTATCTCAAACATATGACAATTGACAGAACTATAATAATTCTCAGCTGATCTATGATTCCAGCGTGATATTAAGCAATACTTTACTTAAAATCAATTCAGAAACTTGATCACCCCTAATTATAATGAGTGTGACGACTAATCTAGTACACAAAAATTTCTAGAATGACTAAACTACACACTAAACTTTACTTACAATTAAAGCTGAAATCGCCTCCTCCATACTTTCTAATTCTACAAGTGCCATTTTCTTCTCTGCTCTAGAATGGATAAATAATATGGGGGAAATTAGATTAAATGCAAAAGGATATATATACAGATATACGAAATACCTGAATATTAATTTACTGGAATAAATGAAATATCTTTAAAAGATCAAATAAATAGAACTAATGTGTTTGAATAAAACAACAAAACTGAACACCTTATTATTTGCTCAAGTTCCCCTTAAAAAGTTCAAAGCAACGTATACACTTTTTTCTGTAATCGGTTACTGGTCTGTCTCTCTCTAGGATGTATTACTGTAGAATGGGATAAAACTAAAGCAATAGTAATATGTTTCACTCATATTCATGAAATATATTCAGCGCTTCTTCGATGTAGTTGTGTCCTCTGAGCTAGATGGTTTATTTCAGAAGCTTCCATTGCCCTACTAAGCAACATCTTCAGCGCATACTTCAATCTCAAGTGAGCTTTCAGATTTCTCCACGAGTTTATTAGTCATCTCTCCTAGTGATCTTCAAAGTGACTGGTTAGTTTATGTTTTCACCCCCTCTAGGCTAATTGTATTCAGTGCTACTTGTAGATCCATCACTAAACGCTAGTATTTTCGAAGTGTACACTTCAATTATGCACATTTGCCCTATAAATAATACTGGCAATTCAGGAATATCGGCAGTTCTACTACTCTGGTAAATGTGGGTACATCTTACATCCTTAGTTAGGTTGATAGAAACAATGCAACTTAAGGCTTAGTAATCTTATCAAATGTAAAATAAAATTCAGAATACACCATATAGTAGTTTTATTGTCATGTTTTTGTGATATTCTTTAAAAGTCGAGATCACACTCCACCGATGATAATCGTGAAAAACTAAATTTCAAGAATTATTTTTAAATTAATTCTTACTTGAAAATTTTCACCCGAGAAACATGGCATTCACAGGCATATTCAAAGACTGTCTTCAATTTCTCCTCATCTACCACATCAGGAAGATTTGTCACATGAAGAACTTTAGATGGAGCACAGATATTAAAGTGATTCCGTGAATTGACGTGTCTAAATCGGTGCAGTTTGTGCCCACTATAATCACACGTATTTTGTGATTCATCACCATCAGGTATATATAAACTATTTTGTGGCATATTAATATACATATTTTTCGAAAGAATACATCGTAAAGTTTTACCATATAAAGGTACACCGTTCAAAAAGTTCACAGCTAAAGAGAAAATGAAGTATTACATAGAAGAAGACAGATGATGATTAGATTAATTGCAACTATATTATATAATAAGTGGCAATGTTTTTTTATCTATGAAATTGTAAAAAAAGTGCTAGGCAAGCACAAGCACAGTGGTTATGTTAGCTAAGATGGTGGAATTTCAACAGCTTGAGTAAAACATCTTATCAGTTACCAATTCACACTCACATCAAACAGCGCAGACAGTATACGACTACACCTGCTTTTCGCATAAAAGCAAAAAAGTAAACAATAAATAACTTGCATCATTTTACGACGTTAACATGAATTAACTCAACAGAAAAAAATTTCAATTGTAAAAAACGATATCACAAAACAATAATATTTACTACTGGTAAAGGTATGATGTTGAAGAAATCATGAGTGCTTTATTGACTTGACATTTTTGAAAACAATTCCACTAAATTTTCGAAAACTAAACGGATTAATTCACTTCTTGATAAATTTTGTCTATCTCGATGTGTCTATTGATTCATGATTCACTGGAATGCCAAGCTTCTAAAAATTCTCTAGCATTCTTATTGTTTCCTCTTCACTTCAAATTGAAGTATGCGCTGTAGATGTCACCTAGTAGGGCGATGAAAGCTTCGCAAATTAACTATCCAGCTCAGAGAACACAACCATATCAACAATGCGAATAACACGGTGGCGACATACACACTATATACTTTTAGACGCTTACTGATTGGAAGAAGAGCAATGATTAATATTAGTCATAAAGTAAAATTATTCATTTGGTACAGCTACCAAGGCAACTTAGCACGTAGGATAATAAAGCTATTCCCGTATATATACAAATAGGATATTTTTAAAAACTTTCGTTTTCCTATTCCTTTACATTCCCAGTGGAACATAGGGCTTCAAGGTAGAGCTGTGAAGTTTCGGTGGCAGTGGTGTTTATTTTTACGCGATAAGGTTGCTAGCCTCATGCCCAACCTTCTCTCTTTACTGGTCTTATTACTGGTTTGGTGAGGCAAAGGACTGCGTCGACCGGGAATGGAACGAAGGACTACACGTGTGGTCGGCGAGCATTCTACCGTTGAGTCACCGACGCACAAAAACTTTTGTTATTTTTCCCGAATTGTTGTTGTATGGTAAACTGCCTGTAGTCTTCCTATTTCTGTAACCAATCCCTACTTCTTTGTTTTCTTATTTCCTGTAACTTATTTACAAATGATAATTCATCACCTTAATACATAGTTATCAACTCTCTCCATTACGCAAGATCACTTCCTATTTTTCATACATTCTTATTACTCATACACTTTGATTTATTTTTGTTACTTACCGACAATAACCTCCTGATCTTTATTGATTATTACTTAACATTAGATATATACACCCCCTGAATAAATGCACATTGAAGCTAACAAAACAGATCCATTCACTAGCCTATTTTTATTTTTCCCTTTTTTAATTACAGCTTAATTCTTCACCGTAATGTTTTGGTACAGATACGCAATTTTGAGCTTGTGATATCGTAGCCCAAATTTCGCAGGCGGAACAGAGATAAAAGGTACGCGTCAGCAGGGGATCCAGCACCGGATAATGTGCATGGTTGGCGAGAATGCTTACCACTGTGCACTAAACGCACACAAAGCAAAGTGTCACTTTGATAGCGCTATTAAAAGACGGAGATTATCTGAAAAATGTGATTGATGTATTTGCGCTATACATTTCGAACAATCTGATCACACACTTACTTGTCAAGTCAATATATATGGAAAAGTTGAATTAAACAAAGTGACAAAAAATAATTAAGAATAAGAGTAATAACAAACTGTTTTTGAATACACAAGGGGGGCTTAAGTTTATGAATGTCTATAGCCTCAACGTATTTCAGTAAACGCCCTTGACCGTTTTTATAGATGACCTTAAAGGTTGAGTTAACATCAATCTTATGGTTCATCTCGATTAGATGTTTAGCTATAGACTAAGTTCGTAGTCTGACATCTGCATCTATTGGCTTGTCACAATTCATCTGTTCTTCTAACCATTTTGGGATATGCTCTCCCACCCTCACGTGCGAAGCCCGATTACTCCTCCCTATGTATGTATGTCCACACACACACACGAAAATTGGTAAATTGTGTGGGATGTGATATAGTCACTTGTGCACTTTTGAGGTTTGCAGTGAAGCATGTTTTTAGCTATTTCCACAATTACAAGCTGGGCTGCATAGTAGGTTCTACGGATGATCGAATTCAACCTTTGTCTCAAAATCCTACTGTTTATTTCCCCGTTATATGGTAATTTGATGAAAACCTTTTTCTTAGGGACGGTATGGATTGTAGGTTTAGAGGCTAGTTGACTTCTACACCTGTTTAAAAGTTTCAAAGGATATCCGTTTTCAACAAGAGTATCCATCAATATTTCGTTTTCTTTGTCTGTAACATCAGCCGTGCAAATACACTGAATCCTCTTAAATAGACACTTCACCAAGCCTCTATTATACTGTAATGGACAGAAGCTGTGAAAATTAAGGTATTGCCCTATCCAACTGGGCTTTCTGTAGATGGACCGTCTCATTGAGCCATCATCTCTTCGACTCAGAAGTATGTCTAAAAATACAAGCTGGTGGCTTGTAAGACTAATATGATTCTGCACAGGGGAAAAACTGTCTAATAGACCACTAGCATCTTCATCATCAAGGTATATCAAAATGATATCATCTACATATCTCTTATAGAAAGGCAATTTAGAAATTAAATCAAAGGATAAGTTTTCAACGTAAGACATGTAAACGTCCGCTAACAAAGGTTCTAATGGACTCCCCATAGCAACGCCATCCACTTGTCAAAAATGTTCACCTTCAAACGTGAAATGGACGTTGTCAGTACATAATAGTAATAAATCTTTAAAATAAGGTAAAGGAAAAGGAAATGAAAAACAACTAGAAGATATATAGTCACAAAGAATATCAACAGTCTTAACCAATGGTACATTAGTAAACAAAGAATTAACATCAAATGAATACATTTTCCTATCTTTTATGTTCATATCTATAAGAAAGTCAACAAGTTTGAATGTATCTTTCAAAGTAAACTTACATAATTCATTGCGTACTGGACTTAAAGTATCGGCTAACCATTTTGCTAATTTATGTGTAGGAGAGTTACACATTGAAAGAATTGGACGTAATGGATTATCAACCTTATGAATCTTGGGTAATCCATAGAGGTTTGGGAAGTCAGATGATCCCATGGGTTTTAAGGAATTAAACTCCTGTTTATCGATAACGTCCATACCACGAAGTTTTACCAAATGAGAAGCTACTTTTCCTTACAATTTTCTCATGTCATCGAAGGAACATCGGCTATGAATTTGCTTTTGTCATTAAGGATGGATAACATTTTTGTTTTGTAATCGCTTCTGTCCATTACAACTACACCAGGTCCTTTGTCAGGTTTCAAAATAACTAAATCGGATCTGTTACGTAATTCCTTTAGGGAATTGTCAATGTGAGATTTCGTAAGGCGAATATGATTTAAAAAATTTGGTTGAAGTTTAGGAGATCGAAGAGATTTGTAAAATACCTTCGAGAATGTGTGACTTGAGAGACAAGATTTATAAAAATCCAATTTCACCTTTTCAGATGCTACTTTGCACTTAAGGTTAAGAAGTCCACATAACTTTGAGTGCAAGGTAGCATCTGAAAAGGTGAAATTGGATTTTTATAAATCTTGTCTCTCAAGTCACACATTCTCGAAGGTATTTTACAAATCTCTTCGATCTCCTAAACTTCAACCAAATTTTTTAAATCATATTCGCCTTACGAAATCTCACATTGACAATTCCCTAAAGGAATTACGTAACAGATCCGATTTAGTTATTTTGAAACCTGACAAAGGACCTGGTGTAGTTGTAATGGACAGAAGCGATTACAAAACAAAAATGTTATCCATCCTTAATGACAAAAGCAAATTCATAGCCGATGTTCCTTCGATGACATGAGAAAATTGTAAGGAAAAGTAGCTTCTCATTTGGTAAAACTTCGTGGTATGGACGTTATCGATAAACAGGAGTTTAATTCCTTAAAACCCATGGGATCATCTGACTTTCCAAACCTCTATGGATTACCCAAGATTCATAAGGTTGATAATCCATTACGTCCAATTCTTTCAATGTGTAACTCTCCTACACATAAATTAGCAAAATGGTTAGCCGATACTTTAAGTCCAGTACGCAATGAATTATGTAAGTTTACTTTGAAAGATACATTCAAACTTGTTGACTTTCTTATAGATATGAACATAAAAGATAGGAAAATGTATTCATTTGATGTTAATTCTTTGTTTACTAATGTACCATTGGTTAAGACTGTTGATATTCTTTGTGACTATATATCTTCTAGTTGTTTTTCATTTCCTTTTCCTTTACCTTATTTTAAAGATTTATTACTATTATGTACTGACAACGTCCATTTCACGTTTGAAGGTGAACATTTTTGACAAGTGGATGGCGTTGCTATGGGGAGTCCATTAGAACCTTTGTTAGCGGACGTTTACATGTCTTACGTTGAAAACTTATCCTTTGATTTAATTTCTAAATTGCCTTTCTATAAGAGATATGTAGATGATATCATTTTGATATACCTTGATGATGAAGATGCTAGTGGTCTATTAGAGAGAACCATATTAGTCTTACATGCGTGGAAGAAAGTCAGAAAGAGCTTGTATTTTTAGACATACTTCTGAGTCGAAGAGATGATGGCTCAATGAGACGGTCCATCTACAGAAAGCCCAGTTGGATAGGGCAATACCTTAATTTTCACAGCTTCTGTCCATTACAGTATAATAGAGGCTTGGTGAAGTGTCTATTTAAGAGGATTCAGTGTATTTGCACGGCTGATGTTACAGACAAAGAAAACGAAATATTGATGGATACTCTTGTTGAAAACGGATATCCTTTGAAACTTTTAAACAGGTGTAGAAGTCAACTAGCCTCTAAACCTACAATCCATACCGTCCCTAAGAAAAAGGTTTTCATCAAATTACCATATAACGGGGAAATAAACAGTAGGATTTTGAGACAAAGGTTGAATTCGATCATCCGTAGAACCTACTATGCAGCCCAGCTTGTAATTGTGGAAATAGCTAAAAACATGCTTCACTGCAAACCTCAAAAGTGCACAAGTGACTATATCACATCCCACACAATTTACCAATTTTCGTGTGTGTGTGTGGACATACATACATAGGGAGGAGTAATCGGGCTTCGCACGTGAGGGTGGGAGAGCATATCCCAAAATGGTTAGAAGAACAGATGAATTGTGACAAGCCAATAGATGCAGATGTCAGACTACGAACTTAGTCTATAGCTAAACATCTAATCGAGATGAACCATAAGATTGATGTTAACTCAACCTTTAAGGTCATCTATAAAAACGGTCAAGGGCGTTTACTGAAATACGTTGAGGCTATAGACATTCATAAACTTAAGCCCCCCTTGTGTATTCAAAAACAGTTTGTTATTACTCTTATTCTTAATTATTTTTTGTCACTTTGTTTAATTCAACTTTTCCATATATATTGACTTGACAAGTAAGTGTGTGATCAGATTGTTCGAAATGTATAGCGCAAATACATCAATCACATTTTTCAGATAATCTCCGTCTTTTAATAAGGGTATCAAATTTCATAGAAGGGTCTAATTGTTTTAAAGTGTCATTTGCAATCTTTACTGGTATTACATTAGTAAAAACCCCTAAATTAGAAGGAATTATTACAGTCATGACATAAAATAAAATCCTGCATGTCAATCTAACTTTACAGTATGCTACTCACCTCGAAGAGCTTGAGCAGCATCAGTCAACTGAACCAGAGCTGTGCTTCGTTTGTTGTGTATAATTTTCACGCGTTGCACATCACCATACACACCTTGATATAGGTTCGTAGGATGATGACAATAACAGAAAAAGTAAAACAAAAACTATACTTTTCGCTTCAATTTGTGAGGCTATCAATGTGCATAATGAGTATTTTGGGAACATTTACGAATCACCAAATGCAGCTCAATAGTATTTTCTATTCACAAAGTTTCATCAGAAATATAGCAGGCATATTTTATACAATGAATTCCCAGATTTTTTTAATAATGCCACAGTGAGTGAAAACTTTACGCTCAAAATTCGGAGTTATGTAAATTACAATAGGTCAAAAATAATGAAAAAAGGATAAGCTATAATTAACAGAACAAAATGTTCGAATTTAAATATCATATGAGTAACAGGATTTATGTTGCAGGTATTAAACTGTAGGAAAGTGAATTATATTACACACTAGTGTTCCCTTAGATTCCGAGTGGAACACACAGAGGGGTTCATTAGCACATCTCCATTTCATCCACTTTTCTGCAGTCCTCATTAACTGACTCCACGGTTGCCAATACGCTCTCATCTCCTAATCACACGACCTCCTCTATTTCACCCTCAGATACCCAGTAAATTGTCCAAAATTAGTATTCCCATCAATTGATGGTCAGGCGTGCGATGTTACTCAACGGTCTTCTTAGTGTGCCTAATTCATCTCCATTTTCCTGAGGATATTTGCTGAGCGACAGCATGCTAGCTATGCTCTCTCTCCACTCTGGAGAGAGGGGCTTAGAAAATGTCGACCCCAACAATTGTACATCCCAGACTAACCTTACGGTGGTCCGTAACCGGCGGACCAAGAAACCAGCTCATACAGGCTGTGTGTGACCGGCCTCAAGCAGTTATCGCCTGGGATCTGCGGTCACGCAACACTAACTCTCTTTCTGCTTCAGGTACCCGGAGATTCAATCAACTTCTACCGTGTGGGTAGTCGGGAAGTAACAACCGCTCACAAGCTTCCAAGAGCACGCGAAGCCTTCCCAATCATCATTCTCTTTTACACAAATCCCCCTCATCATCTTACTCCCCTACTACAGTCAGTACTATTCTTCAGGCTAGTGAGTCATCTTTACTTCCCTCTGTGACCAGAAACAATGATGAGAGCAATAAAAACACCCCCCTCGAAAACCCCTTAAAGCCACGTCGCCAACTTCCTATAGGAGCATTCAACGTCGGGATCCTCTGTCAAATCAAACAACAGGCATCACTAGCAAGAACTCTGGCACCTCGAGCCATGGATGTATGTTGTGTCTCGGAGACACGCATACAAGACCCGAGTGTAGTCATTCACTTAACCTCACCAGGCCAACAAGGTGAATCTGCAAAATTCATCTTAAGAGAATCAAGAGAGCCCTCAGCTAGTTTGCGAGGACTCGCAGATGTAGGGATAGCATTGAGTGTTAGGGCGGAAAAATCACTTCTTGACTGGATCCCAGTGGATATCCGTATGTGCGCGGTCCATCTGAACGCGTCTGTTAGATGAAGAAAAAACGGTGTTACCCGACGTTGTCTTTTCATAGTCTTCGCTTACGCCCCAACAGACTGCAGTTCGGATGAATTAAAGGATGATTTCTACCTGGAACTGTCTAATTTGCTGCAAAAAGAAAGACGTTCGGATATAGTTGTTTTAGCAGGCGACTTCAATGCCTGAGTAAGGAAGTTGTGCCAGACTGAGAAGTATATAGGTGGTACGTATGGAGTTCCCTGCCGGCGAACCGACAGCGGTGATCGTTTTCTACAGTTCTGTTCAGATAATCATCTGTTCCTAGTCAGCACTAACTTTAGGCACAAAGAAAGATACTGCGTAATCTGGCGACCTCTATCACCAAATCAACGCTAGACCACATAGCCATAGGGTATCCTTGGCGAGGGTCAGTAGAAGACTGCTACTCCTTTTGGAACACGCGCGTAGACTTCGATCACGCCCTGGTTCGCGAACGTTTATGCTTACGTCTGAACGGACATAGGAAATTGTTGGCAGCGAAGTAGTTACGCGCCCAACTAGGTCGAGACTCTGAGTCCCTATTTAAAGAGGAAATAGCGAAATGTGTATCTGAGGTCGACAGCAGTACTACTCCCAAGGTAGCCTGGCACAACATACAGTTAGCTAGTAGACACAGATGTGAAAGCTGTTAATAACCTAAAACCTAAAGTTAGTAAGAGCCAGTGTATTTCTACCACCTCATCCGAAATGATTGACGCAAGACTGATTCCGGCGAGCTCCGAATATGATGAGGAGTGAAAGCTGTTCAAGCACAAACTAACAAGAAACCTTCGTAACGACCGCGAACACTGGTGGCCGACAAAAGCAAAAGAGATGGAAAAGGCATCGGCGAAAGGTAACACCAGACAACTATTCAGATTTATCAGGGAAACAGGTGGTAAAAGGCAAACGATAAGTGAAACAATCTCAGGGGAAAATGGCACCATAATAGATAGTTTGCTGTCTGCAAATCACTGATCATCCCGATATACAAGAATGGAGACAAGTCTTCCTGTGATAATCACAGGGCGATTAGCTTGACTATTACAGTATCTAAAGTCCTAGGCTCAATAATATTGCGTAGACTAAGTGATGCTCGGGAGGCACAAACATGAGAGAACCAGGCAGGTTTTAGACCAGGGAGAGGGTGTATTGATCATATCTTCACCCTTCGACAGATTCTGGAACATAGGCATTCCCACCGGCGTCCATCAATCTTTATATTTCTTGACCTAAAGGCGGCATTCGATTCTGTCGACTGAGGGGTACACTGGCGATGTTTTGATGTGAAGGGAATGCCAAGAAAATACATTACACTGATCAAGGCACTCACTCTCCTCGAACTCATGCAGTCAACCAGGTGAGAGCTAACGGCGAGTTGTCATCTGAAGCGGTAACAACTAGTGGTGTCCATGAGGGATGCCCACTATCCCCATTCCTATTCAACTTCATCATAGATGTATTAACGGACCTAACACACTTCAGCGACTCAGGGATTGACTTGTTACCAGCGAATAATCTCGTCGACTTAGAATATGCGGACGATATAGTCCTTCTAGGCGAGGACGCTGACAAAATGCAGAGTCTACTGAACACCTTGAGCAACAATCTTCGTATGTTTGGCATGCGATTCGCCCCTGTAAAATGTAAGATGATGCTGCAGGATTGGACTTCACCGACCCCTAGATTAAAAATAGGAAGTGAAGTGGTAGAGCACGTTGACCACTTCAATTACTTGGGAAGTACCATCAGCCCCGACGGGTTGATTTCCGACGAAATCGCAGCACGAATACAGAGGGCTAAGTTCGCATATGCCAGTTTACGGCGTCTCTGGAGTAGACGCGATATCCGACTATCGACCAAAGGACGTGTGTACTGCTCAACAGTCCGCTCCGTCCTCCTTTATGGCTGTGAGACCTGGCCATTGAGAGCAGAAGACATGGAAAGATTACCTGTGTTCGATCATAGGTGTCTGCGTTCCATCTCCTGTGTGAAGTGGTATAATAAGGTGAGCAATATTGAGGTTAGGCGTCGAGTGCTAGGTAAGGCGGGGAAATCAGTCGACGAGACTGTGAAATTACATCGACTGAGATGGTTAGGACATGTGCTACGTATGCCTAGTCATCGCCTTCCTCGACGGGGGCAATGTTAGCTGATATAGGGCCAGGCTGGAAAAGAGCTAGCGGCGGTCAAACGAAAACATGGCACCAGTCAATGAAATCCACAACAGTTAGTCTGAGCCACGTAGGAAGATGTAGACTTCCTGGTTGGGGTCCTCGGGACGGTAAAAACCAATGGTTGGAAACGATTGGTGACATGGCTCAAAATCGTTCTCAGTGGCGCAGACGCATCCACTCCTTGTGACTTGTGATTTCCAATTAAACTGTTTTGTTCTCCGCTTTACTATTCCTTTGTCTCACACCTCTGTTTACTGTCTATATTATGCATTTCTTCTACTTTCTTCTCTTGCTTTGTGTGCTACATGGAGTGTGGCGACTTGAACTGCCGCACATATGTGCAAAGTTCTATGTCGAAAACCGACCGATAAAAGTTAGTTTAAGCCGGCCAGTCACGTAGGGAGGTGTAGACTTTTTGACTGGTTGAGGTCCTCAGGATGCTAAGAAGTAATGATGGCTGAAGACAACTGGTGATATGGCTCAAAATCTTTCTCAATGCATAGTGCAGATGCATTCACTCCGTGTGACTTATAATATCCAACAAATTTCTATTGTTCTTCCATATTACTATTCCTTTTCCCTCATGTTTCTGTTCACTATCTCTCTTCTCTTTTTTTGTGTGCTATATGGAGGAAGTGTGGCAACTCGAACTGCTGCATATTGGTGCAGAGTTCTACGTTGAAACCAGTCAGTCAGGTTCGTTCCCAGGGTTTCTTGTTTCTAATCCTTTCTGGCCATGGAGAGAGCAAAGGCGGTTGTTGATAAAAGTTTGCAGGCTACTGGAAATACTCTTCGTGACACGCGTGAACCATATGGAATAACTAACTAGGCATTACCAGAATGTTGTTCTTTATGTTTAGTGCGTAGTTAGATCTCAACTACCTGGTAATGGGCTAAAAGCACACTTATTGTGTGGGGGCTAATGGTACTACTCCAACTATCTAATATCATATTACTCAGTTGCCCAGGCTGGAGTAGGTAGTGGAGCGGGGCTAGAATCCAGGAGTCATTGACTATAAGTCGAGTGGTCAAGCTGATGTCTTTTGTTCTAATACACTATTTCATTTGTTCAGGGGTTTAAGTTAATAATTTTTACAGACACAATCATCATCGCTTTCATCAACAGACAATTTTGTTACACAACTTATGTAGTGTTTGCATACAGTATGTAATTGAAAAAGGTTACCACATACCACAAAGTGAATCGATCGTATTCTGAAAATTTTTTTTACTTGTGAGTGTGACCAAGTATACAAAAAATAGAATTGACAATGTGTTGACTGTTAACTGAAATTAATCAATATTTTTCGATTAAAATTAAAGACCTGAGGAAGGTCTACGCGAACACACATGGAGTAGGATAATCTTACCAAATAGTATGAACAACGTATCCGGATTGACTTTCTTTGTTATAGGATTAACAATACAGATGATAATGCACCAAAACCCAAATGACAAGTTTTGTAGGAGAGCCCAAAGAGGATCAATATTAAATGAGGTACACATAAAGGTATAAGGAAAGAGAGAGAGAGAGAGAGACAGACAAGATAGATAGGTAGCAGTTATACATATACACATATACGCATACAGAGAGAAAGTTAGTGAAAGTAAAGGGAGGTTTCATGACTGAGAGTAAACACTACTGGCTCATAGATGATTATAAATTGAGAATGCCTAAGTCACTAGAGTTTACTGCCAATAACTCAGTCCCTAATAGTTAAAATTTCAGTACTCAGCAGTGAAAAACGCCTAACTGCTTCAGACTAATTGAGTACATGGATTATAAAACAGTTCAAGGTAATGAAAGTGTATCATTGAATTTAAAAAGTACAGCAAACAGACGTTTAATGTACCCTTGACTTCAATGGCTAGAATCACTAGACGACACAACATCCGAGAGCCAACTGCAGTTGCACGGATGTTTGCATGCTAAGTGAATACAAAGTTTCTGTTTTGATGAATTTTTCCTTATTTTGTCCAAAAGTATTCTACAACTTATGATTAAATAGTTTTTACTTATTATTTGTTATTATTTATATTCCTTCTACTTGATGTCCGCTTATGAGATGTATCAATAAGCAACATTATGTTCATCTTGTGCTGGAAATATCTGTTGGTTTGCACCTCTGTTTAACATTTAACATAAAGTGGCTTTATAGTCTTTTCTATCACCTAATATTCTGATGATCATCAGATGTCCCATAGACGTTAATACACTGATATCTTAACACATACACAGTATATAACTAAGTGGGCATCAATCTGATGCCTAAAAGCCTTTCTACAGTAGTATTATCGGAATGTGAGTTTATGGAAAATGACTAGTTTAAATGTTAAAGTGCCGTTTACAGCCAGTCACTCAAAAACCTCAAAGGTAGAGAGAACCAGGATGTGGTTAGGCTACTAAAATGTAGGGAAATATGACTTTTTGAGTTTTCGTCCTCGCAAGACCCACTAACAGGTCTGATATCTGAAAATATAGAGTGTCATAAATTACAAAAAAACCTGTAACAGGGATTTTCAAGTATTCGTTTGCAGTGATTTGATTAGTTTCAAGTTAAACCATGAACTGACAACAGTTAGAGCGGCAAGGAAACGGATTTTTTTACAAACCTCATATCACATTCACAGCCTAAACTCTATCAACTTTCAGACATGTAAAAAGTTTGAGTGAGCTTCAGACAATAGTTATTAAAGTGATATAAACTCGTGATCATATAGCAGTGTAAAAGCAGAATATAAAGTGGTGTATCTAACATTTTAAAGTCAAATTTAATTGGTAGCTGTATTATTTGTTTTTTCATGAGTCGAATAATACAAAATGCGTAGTTTTATCCACATAAAACAGCAAAGACTTAATGGAATGGTGAAAACACGTTATCTTACCTCTTCGTTTAAATTGGATACAAAGACAACAGGTGAACCAACATAAATACGTGATGCATTATTAGTAACTTCCTGAGCAGATACATTAGGAATAATCGGCCAAGAAAAAGATTCACAGTGACTTTGGTTTTCTGAAATCAAAGCAGACAGACCACCTAGTGCTGATGCCTGTGCTCTAAGTACATCAGCTTGTGGGCCAGATACTGATGCAGCAACTCTTACTATATAAAAAAAGGTAAACAGAGTTATTAAGCAACGATCGTCTTTTGACACTGAAAAAAGTTGATTGTTTTTTCTCGGGGGAGGCGGGGATGGTTGTAGTTGATCCGATTGATTTCAGTGTGCAATTTTTAACCAAGCAACACGAGCTGAAGAATTAGTAAAATTTCAAGCATACTTGCATACTCAGGACCTAGAATGATTGCGACTACACACCTGTAAGTTGGAATCCGGCACATTTTATTTTAAATGTGTAAGGCACAAATCGTAACTTTAACTGTCAGCTTCCTACTGAATTATTAAAGGTAACTGATTATTAGCCTCAACAGAATTTACAAACATTTGTATGTAGTGAGCTTTTGTTATAGCTGACCAATTATACTTACATAAACAGAGTGAAAGGAGTTATAGCGATCCGACTGTCGTGTGCTGATAAAAGTAACGGAAGGCGTTTGCAAATATACGCATGAAAACAAACGACTATCATTTCAAACGTTGGCTGTATATCTCGAGGGTATTTAATTATAAACCTTTACCATATTTGTGATAATACAAAGGAGGTTTACACATTTCTATAGATTAAGTTATTTAGTTATTATATGATGTCTATAGGTCATTTAAAAAGCATAGGTGCTGGTTTTTGCAAACAAAAGAGCATTTTATCTTCGCAGGTACTAATACAATCTGGTGTAGTAAAAATTTACCAAATTAGCAACACATAAAAGCGCTTTCAATAGTCAATTAGACAATACTAAATTTCCAATGCTATAAAAAATCTTGTGAAAAGTCCAGTTTAAAGGTTTATCAACTCTACGACAAAAATGGTAATACTAAAAAAGGGAAAATGACATACGTAGAGGTTTGATAAGTCTATTGGCCAAAGTGCTTAGAGACGCTGGATCCATATTTGAAAGCTTTTCTTCACTGAGATCATTCAAATCGGGTTTGACAGAAGAAAGAATCGGTTGGAACTTTTTATTCCCACTCATGCTTGACGCTATTTCCTGTGATTCATCAATTTCATTCCACGGGTTACGAGTAAAATCTCTGCTGCTACTGTCTTCCCGATGGACTTCTAAAGTGGGTTGTCTTGAGAATTCGGTACGCAGTATACAAAAATTTCCTTCCGCGGGGAATAAAGGTACACCATTCATTTGCTAATATTGTATACAAGAAGACAACAATTAGAGCGATAAATATTACTGTATAACACTGTGTGACTTACCAAAATAAAATCTTATGCATAATGAAGTTATACTCTAACACAGTGCCCAAGTTTTATACTTATATCGATAAATGCCTGGACTTAGGAAAAATCAAACTGTCGCAAACACACCTCAAATTATTATTTCTTTTCAACAAATTACATAAAACATTCGATGACGATGGAAAACATTTTTAGATTCTATGATTAAATTTGTCATCAGGTCACACACGACTTTAAAATCACTTTACATAAGCATTTAAGCACTCAGTGAAAAAAAAATTAAACTGGTGAAAGTTTCAAGTATTCATAGTCAGAAACGTCACTGATCTTAAAAGCCTTGATGTAGAACATGAAAAGATATAATTTACTAACAACAAGCAAAATCATTATTTTTTATTATAGTTCTCGTCCTCATTTTAAATAAAAAACACTTCAATTCAACACAAGAATATCACAGATATTCAGAACATTAACATATATAGGTAAAATTTCGGACAAAAAGGAAGATAGCATAAGAGTAAATGGATACAGAGATTAAAAGCTTGTATTTCGACCCAAAGGCATTTTTTGTAGAAACAACAGACTTAATGCACAAAAGTCTTAGCAATTTATCAGTGTAATCGCGACACAATCCATAAGAAATGTCGATACCTTTAATAAAATGGATCAGTATCTCAAACCTTTATTTCTTAAAATCTCATGGAATTGCTTTCTGTGTATAGCTCTGTTTGAAAATGTCTTGTAGTTAGTGAGCATATAACTGATATTAATAAAGCATTCAAAGTTACTTATCGCATCCCAGTTCGTCTTCAACATACAGCTGAGGGCGCCAGAATCCGCCTGAAGAAGCCAAGCTTGTCTGTTCAAAAGAAATTCGTGCAGCCAACTTCCTTACCTTTGTCATGAATTATATAAATGCAAAAGACACACAATTTCTCCCCCCACCCCCACCCCATAAGCCTTTTACAATTTTATTTATCCAGTGAATCATTTTGCCTAGCACACCAAATAAACAAAAGAACAGAATTAAAATCTACTACACCATCAAAGTCCGAAACCTGTACTCAGAGACTTACTGCAATAAAACTGTAATGACTAAGATCTGAAATAATCAGGAGATAAAAATATCTAAATAGTCATAATTATGCTTTTCACGGGATAAAAGCATTAACATATACACATTGCTTACCAGTTTTGCGACATGCGCTGATATAGAATTACTGAATTCTAAAAACGCATGACGAGACTCATTTTTCCTGAATGAAACCACGCGTAGTATTCGCCCAAAAGGTCTGAACGCCTACAAATTTTAAAGTGTTCATTTAGAAAATTCAAATAAATGATAAACCTATTAGGTAAAAATCTGTCCGAAAAAAATGAAAATTGAATTTTAAGTTTAAAAGTGTGAGCACCTGATAGTGATAAACCCGTGTAAACGCGAAAACCACAAAAACGTAGAATTAGAAAGCAAAACAAATACTACACTGAAAATTTTCACTAGTGCACCAATATGTTTGGTGACATCATAATGCATCAAAGCTCAACATATTAAAGATGTGAAAATGGAAATATGTGCTCATCATTGGATAAGAGAGGGTCCTAAACAATGACGAAACAGCTATCCAGTACTCCCTGGTTTACATCGATCCTCCAACGGAGGTGAATTTGTGATCAAAACTGAAATGATTAGTAAATTCAAAAACAGGTATGAAAATAATCTTAGTAAACAAGCACTTCAGAGGAATAATTTAACGCTTAGAGATGGAATTCCCAGTTTTGGTGAGAAGTTCGTCAAGTTGAGTGTATGAACAAACACCAATAACAGTAGATTGCTATAGCGCCACAACGACGAGTGATAGGGGCTAGGAATCACAGACCACTTCAATCCAATCCCATGGCTGGATGGCAGCGTGCTTATACACTCTGTGGAGATTAGTTAAGAACTCAACTCCTAACGTCATGTTTAAATTCGCATTATTAAAGAGTCCTGAAGTTGGACAGAATAGCCTTCTAGAGCTTGTTGGTTTTTAAGGGATCTCCCCCAGATACTGTCACTTCGTGACTACACCAACCAAATTCCTGTAAACTAATTTTACATCAATAAAAACAAAACTTTATTGTGACATTTAAAAAATTAAATCAATAAAGGTAAACACATACGAGAAAAAATGGTAAGTATCCGATCTCTGAAGATGGGAGTAATCTTTCCACATGAATGTGCAACACCGTTTTAGTAGATTCTTCGTTTTCAATACGGAACGCTGCAAACTGTTTATTCGCTTCTTGAATGGCAGACGCAGTTGCATTATTATTATTATTGGAATTAGTAAGAGAGGTATATTTGCTAAACTGAATTTCTACAAGATATCTGCCGCGTAATTTTGGCGGGCATACAGTTGTATAATAACTAAACATAGATTCAGCCGATTCCAAAGTGTCCATTTCAATGAGAGCCTGTAATATGGAATGTGATTTACAGAAAAAATTAATGATTAGTGAAACTAACACGTATTACATATGTACAAATTTCCATTTTGATTCCCTTTCCTGACGTTACATATAATGACCAAAATATTTTGGGTTTTTAAGGAAAACTGTGGTAAAATTTCAACTCCTCCTACTTTGTAGACGATGCATTTTATTTTATTCTGGTTTCTACTTCTAATTTGAAATGATCATAGGTGGAAATCAGAATTTATGACTCTGCCCCTTATCATTCTAATAATAAACGATGCTCTTTATAGAATCATTAGTTATGTCAACAACTTAACTCAAAAATGATGTTATTCTTTGAAAACGTATTACTTTACTAAGAATGTAGCTTTAGGTAACTTCATAAATATTGCATCTTATTGTGTTGCAAAAACATGCCTTTTAAAGTAAAGAACTTATATAGAATCTACAATAAAGATAATTGTTTATTTAGAAGTGACGTTTCCTTCCCGCTCAAATAATGATATCCTACTAGTGATAAGCACTAATTCAGGATACTTGACTTATTGGCTTAAACTTTTGATCTTCAATACAGTGGGTGCCGGGTTCGAATCCCACCCTGCTTATTTCAACCAGTGCAACTTGTTAGTATCACTATCCTTCACAAACGTATGGCTTATAGCCTGGAACATGTAAGGCCTGTTGCGGAAACAAAAAAGCAGCAAGCAAATAATCACAGTTATGGTATAAGATTTTTTTAAATACAAGCAAGTGTAGAAATCTGTGTAACACAACACTGAATCAAAAAATATTACCATGCAGGAAAGGACACTTGGTTTTATCCCTGGGAAGTACTTTTAAAAGTATACTAATTGGTGAGCGTGATGAACAAAAGGTAATCAGCTTAGAATTATATTTTCATTCCCTTGCTTTCCCACATTCTTTAAATTAATACAATCAATAGGAACTAATGTAAATTATGCACAAAATTCGTTTCTAAAAATGTGATGTAACTAAAAAAAATCACTTACACATTTCTTTCAACTGGTATTGCGTCAATAACTTCTCTGTACGCTAACCTTTCGGGTTTTCTAACAAGCACCCTTTGATTCACCTTCTAATAAGGATTTCCACTTAGTTAATTACGTGAGACAAATTTCTCATGCATCAGGTTGTTAACTACACTTTTTTTATTTTTTTTTTATTACAGCTTGATGCCACACCGTATTTTCAGTACAAGTATGGAATTTTCAGCATGGATATCGGTAGCCCAAATTTTGCAGGCCGGCCATAGATATCGGGTGTGTGTCGGCAGCGGATCGAACCTCGGACCATGTGCATGGTCGACGAGAGTCCTAACCACTGTGCCACCGACGCACGCGAGGGCTGACGATATTAACAAGTCTAAAGTAGGTGGAGAGGGATTTAGGCGCTGGACTCATCGACTTTTATACTAAATAGTTACGTGCTCACGACGTGACTTGTTTGTCTTAAACTCGATGTCACACCTTAGCAAATGCCAACTGCTGAAGTCACCCAGAATAAGAAGAAAGAGCTGTCCAATACTTATTGGCTTTCTAGGTTCTTTAGCTTGTATGGATGCTTTACGAAAACTAACCTATCTTTTCATAATATATGTGAAATAAAAGAACTCTTAGGAAGAACAAAACTAGTTATAAAACACTGGATTTGTGATTATCATCCTAAATGAGAACGAATAAAGATGTAAGATATGAACATACGAAAAAGCATCAAACTAATAATTAATATAACATACCTGACAGGTTTTTTTAGTTAGTATCATATTAGCGATTGAACCAAATGGAATGGCCAAAGTGGAAACTTCATGTTCCGTTGTATCCGGTGGTAAACCACGAACATGAAGAACACACGATTCGGGTAAAGAATTTGATGTCAAACTGTCTAATCGTGCCTGAAATACAACATTGATAATAAATTACTGCATCCAACACAAAGAAACTATGTGAGAATACAAAAATGCATCATACACACAATGTAGTGATTAATTTATTTTTTGTTTTGCAAAAAAAATGTCAACCACGATAAAATCGTACACCAGAATAATGAAGCAATCCAAACCGTCAGTGTTTGCCTTCCTTTTTATTGATGATCACTGTTATAATGTCGCATCAGGCACCCCACACATTATCTAGTACTGTAGTTAACCTGGACAACAGTTTGTCATCGTAGTCTTTAAACACCTCTGGAATCCCCATTAGGTTTCGCTGCTTTGCCTCGTTTCAGATTGGATACAGCTTTTGTAACCTCAGTTACAGATTGTGGACCGACGTGTACATTCCACTCAGAAAGGTGCTGGACGGTGGGTTAGTTGAGCGTGACCATAGGCCAGCTGAATCACTCCCCAAAGTGTTCCTTCTAACGTTCCAGTCGTCTATCCTCAGAGTTAATTAAGGCATCACTTTTCTCACAGATTGTCTCACTTATCATTTGCCTCTTTCAACCTGTTCCTCTAATAAATCTAAATGGTTGTTTGATGTTCTCTGTCGCCAAAACCTTTTCCATCTTTTTTGCTTACGATTATTTGTGGTCTCTAGGGAGATTTGGTCATTTCGCAGCTTTTGCTCGTAACATTATTCGGAGACCACTTACATTTTCTAACCTTTGGTTTTAGGTTATCAACAGCCTTTACCGCTGTTTCTACAGCTGAATGCATAATTTACCAGGCTTCCTTAGGATGAGTTTGCCCATTTCTTCATTAAACGGAGACTTTGTGTCCTCATCAAGCTGGCTTTTCACACTGAAACATAATAGGGAGCACCTATAAATTCATGAGGAAGCTTAGGCCTAAGTCAAAATAACATCAGCCACAAGTTCTTTACCAAGAATATTATCATTAAAAGTGACTTACCTTTTTCGACTCCAAGTGATTGATGTCGCTTATGGTTGGAACTTCAGTAAGGACTCTCTGTAAAGAAATAAAAGAACAGTGCGGTGAACCACATGAGTATCTGCAACGAATAAGCAATCCTGACACGAATCCATCATGTGCTGACATCCACAAATGGAAATGTATGCAGCTGCTAAGGTACATAATCATATATCAGGATTTAACACAACGACTTATGAGTAATTAGTCAGTATCAAATTTCTTTTTTCGAATTTTGTGAGCTTTATTAAGATGAAGTGTTGGTTTTTGGCGCTTTAAAGCTATGCCACAGTAATTTGATACACTAGTCATTAATTAGTCTGTTATTGAGCCTAATGATACTACTTCGCAGCTAGGACTTCCCTAGGATGAGCTAGATTTAGCAGTAGAAAAATTAGTGTTTGATTCAACGACTCACAGCCTCAAATACGACAACTGATTTTAAGACGGAGATCCTTGATTAATAGGTTCGTACAATGAAATGCCTGAATCTCGCAACAGTTGAAGACGAACAGAAAGACAATGTGAAATCAGGGTGTCCATAAGGTCAAACCAATAAATAGTTTAAAACAAGAAATCTATAATCTCACTCCGACTACCTTGCCATATGTTGGAAATAAATGTGATAACAGTAAATCCAGATAATTCGATGTATTCAAAGAGTAGGTAAGCTGATTTGCATAAGAAGTCTCATTTTCGGTTAAGTGCTGAAGGTGCTTATTCACAAAATCTACACTAGAAATTGCGTTATGATTGGTATAAAACGGGAAAATCACTGCAGGATCTGTAAGGAGACGTGTATTTGCTGGACAGGTTTGAAGAAAAGGAGTGATCATTGAAAAACTCCGACTAAGCAATAAAATGAGAGGAAGAATGTTTACTCTAACATGACATCTCATCCACTTATCTCTGATTGGTCAATATACTACATATAATTCGCCGAATGAACAGTTATTTGCAAAGGACGAATACGGCTCTTGCCAGACTACTTAGACAATCATCCTATCAAAACGCTTTACTGAAGTGAAACTAAAACAGTTTACTACTTAATAACATTGGATAAGAATAATCTGTTGTTTTTTTCTAAACCAACAGACTATCCAGTTTTCGGGGTAGAGACTTATCTCTAGAAGCACTTAAAAATACCTACAAAGTGATACATAATACCGTTAACGTCTAATTCTTTGCTTTTGTTCATTTTGCTTTGGATATATAATGCTCGAGCACGACATCCTGTTGACAGAATTTACTAGTTGGAATGGATTATCAGCCAGTATAAGAACGACAATTTGATGAGTGGTTAGTAGGAAAGAACAAATGCAAGAGTATTAGCTCGGAGGAATTTTACTTGACCTCAGCCATATTAAAGTACCAAGGTTACCTTTCATGTAATATCATCATGGAAATAGCAGAAGTAAGTGTTTTACTCTTAACTGTCATTTATTCAAAAAGTGATATCGTCTTAAAAACAATATTTTCCATGGATTGAGTCCTACGCATGGGCATCAAAGCAAATCCTATTCTCTGATTTCAATAGGCTGTCAAATCAAGAAGACAAGATAATCAGTGCACGAGGTATAATGAGGTATGGTGAACGACTACATTCGTATCTGCTAATGAGTCAGTGCCTTTATAACTTTCACACGGTCAGGCAACCAACTGGAATCAAACGTTAGATAAGATGGCTTAGAATCCAAAACCACAAACACTGACACATTTTTTAAAGTAAACAAGGGAATTTTTGGATATATTTTGTGACTGCTTCGTTTATCCAGATCACTGCTAATAGAATCCGCATAGTGAGGCATATTCAGCCTAAAATAGTCAAAAAACAATAATTGTGAGCACTTGAGTCGGCAACTAAAGTTACGAGAGCTTAGGGAGAGAGTATGTGGAGGCTGATAAGAGGTGCAGTTTCCTGAACGTCTCATGCACTTTAAATCCTACATATGTAAACATGACACCATAACCAGTTCGTGAGGAGTGACTACCCGACTTATCAACATACATAGACAACTTCTCCCTATCTTTCACCTTCCACCGCTATTTACCAGAAATAAAGAAGGAATCGGACTAGTGCACAGTGCACACATTGATGGACAACCAGAGATGACGTAAAGTGAGAAGTGTCACACACCTTACAGCTGGTAGGAGTGAATCACACGCCAAACATACCCATGCTTCCTTATATAAGTCCCACTTCGCATAGGTTCTTTGGTTTGAAAGCATGCTTTTCCTGACCTAAAATATTTCCCCGGATTGAATGGTCAACCTGCTAAACTTCTGTCTGACCCTTCAGAAGAGATAGGAGTAAGTATCTCTCGTTACCCAGTGTCAGGAAGCATCCTTGTAGCCCAGTGCTTAAAAAGTGGTCTTAAAACCATATATCAACTTCGACAGACATCTAAAATAGTGTAAGTCGCGTCCCACAAGCAACTAGACTTCATATAACATAAACCTGATACCACTTTAAATATCTCAATATCCCAGCTAGCATTAACTTCAGGCACTACAAAACATTGGGGTAGACTGAAGATCACTGTAATTAATAGTGTTCTCTGAGCTGGTTGGTTTAGTTGCGAAGCTTTCGTCGTCCTTCTGGACAACACTGTCCCACATTCTGCGATGCGTCTGAAGAAGGTCCTGGCTGGCGTGTCGGGAGACACTAAAGCTAGGTAACACAGGTCGGTTTACCTCATAACACTTTAGGAAGAGTAATAAGTACACAAAATCTCAGTGTTTACAGACTTCGATAATCTGAGCGCCTATCTCGTAAAGCTAACCTGCTTCATTGATTCGTTCCGTCTCATTGGACACACCTAGACCGCCAATGCCTTTGAACTGATCGGTAAAACAACTTTGACCTCCAGTGTCTCATGTAACTATCGTCTAGTAAGGCGGTATATCCAGATTTAAGGTCATGCTAGTTTTCTGCATCAACTGGTTAAATGTTTTCGTGAAATTTGTTTGCCATTGCAATTTAATAGTTTATCTGACGTTTTCCATATTTTAACGTGTCAAGGGCAATTTTTGTCACTGGATGTCACTATAAGTTTATTTCAAATCTGAAGTTCACAGATATTAAGTTGATAGCTAACGATTATGGCAAAGCTGTAATCACTGGGCTAATTCGATTGTACTAGGCTAAGATGGTAAACGGTGACTCTAAACTTTAGGAACCCAAAACAACCTTGAGAACTGACGACCTTGATGCATGACCTTGAGGAGGCAATCATCTGACTCACAATGGATGCTGTTCATCGTTTGCGATGCAAATTCGCTCCAGAGTTTGTTTTTGATTACTGTTTGGAGAACGGGCTCATAGCGAGATCTAAAACTTGCCAGTGCGGAGGTGTTATGCGTATACAAAGATACACGAAATGCATCGACGGTTATGTTTACCGTTGCAAGGATTGCAGATGCAGAAAATCAGTCCGAGTAACAGCAACGGCGTATGAAACTGAAATGTCAGAAGTTTCTGCAGTACAGTGGTACCAATACTGCAGAGACGTGGCGTCGTGGAAGATGAACAAATTGACCCAAGTACTCGGTGGAGTTGGTGTGACTGTTCATGTGGATGAGACGGTTTTAATAAAAAGGAAATATAATCGAGGGAGAATGGCTTCTAATCAACAATGGGTGTTGGGTATATATGACACCACCCTACACAAGGGATATATAGAAGCAATTCCTGATCGCAGTGCCAATGTATTGTTGCCAATTATCCAACGTTTAGTACTACCGGGAACAACAATACACACGGATGAGTGGAGTAGTTACAGCCAATTATCAAATCTGGGCTATATTCATGAGGTTGTCAACCATACAACCGGATTTATAAATCCTTTCAACGGAACTCATACTAATTCGATTGAAAGTTTCTGGAGCCATCTGAAAAAACGGATAAGATCGGTCAACGGATCAAGAAATCCAATGATTTACAGTTATCTCGACGAGTTTATGTATAGGACTTGGTTTAACATGACTTTAAAGACTCCTATGTCTAATTGGGACTTTTTTTGCAACATATACGAGAACGCTATCCTTTGTGACTATTTTTTAACATTGCTTTACTTGTATATAAACGATTTATTAAGATTATACGCCGTTCATTTTGAGCCTTCTGATTGGTTAAAATTGTCCTTGTCAAGGTCATTTGTCCGTTCGTTCGTTTGGGTTCCTAAACTATGGCAGCCCAAAACGAAACTGTGTCTAGCGAACAATGAGATGGGTCAGAAGGAGGAGTGTGTAATTTGAAATCAACGTCCATATACAAGAAATGTAATGTAAAAAATTGTTACATAAGATACTATTATTGTATGTTCCAAGAACCCCCACCCCCAATTTTCACAGGGGTCTTCATAATCACGTAGATTCGTCAGGGTCATCAACCTGTCCATTAGGTAGTTTCGTTTCAAGCTGCTATAGTTTAGTCACTATACTTTGTTCTTCTAAACATTTTCAGAAATGCTTGAGAACCTGTGTTTGCCTATCAGCCTTTTTTCAGCCCTCTTTGCCCAGATTCAGCGTCCACTGCCCTCTTCGAGAACGACCAGCGTTAACTCGGTACACACTGGGTTCATTTCAGGCAGATAAAATATTGATTTACCGTAGAAAGGCATTATTGATGAGGAGATTAGAATAAGTTTAGAACTGTTGCAAGGTTGAGTCTTTAAGGATTGCTATGTTGTACGAGATGGACCGGCTGGACTTATCCGGCATGTTGGTTGAAATTTCGCTCGGCAAATTTGTTTTGTCAATAATTTTTAATAAAATTTTGTTATATGTTTTCTGGATTGATAGGAATTCTCATTTCCTGGCTAGTTATGTTGGCGTCCGCGTCATTTAATCTGACTGCGACACACTTAGCATATTGGTTGTAATGATTAATGTTTCATGCTGAATGCGTCAAAACATCTCTACAATGAAGACGATGGGCTAGTTGGGGGGTAATATCATCCACACAAATAGTTTATTTCTTGTAGAAGCTGCAGCTTTCGACATAATGTCATTCAATGGAGACTACGTCAAAATGTGGCTATTTTCGTGTGAAGAACAGTACTATTTTACAAAAGAATGCTATCAGTACATGGGAATCACCTATAAATGCCAACAGAACGTAAAACCAATGTGTAAACGAACGGCTATGGAACTGCAATCCAACATAACCGACTAACATGGACGAAAATGACCTTTGAGCGTTTCACTCCGTCAGTGACCTTGAGCATGCGGGATAATTTCAGCCGATGGACCCTATCAGTCACTTTAGTGTTCATGCCTATAAGCGTTTGATTTTGTGAAACTGGAACATATTCAATTCTGAAATAGTGACATTTTCTGGTAATGTGTTCGTATTGATTCGTAAAAGTATTTTGACATCGCAGATGAATTATAACGCAGAAAAGCATACACTTAAATAAATTATACATAGAAATGACTTTTATTTGTGTTTGGGAGTGGTATTTCTGAGTGGTTTTAGGTTTTCAGGTCGTAAATTATTACAGACAATGGATAATGTCATGGCGGTTACTTTACAAGATTCAGGCTTTTTGTAAAGAACAAGACCACATGCATAAGTTAGGTACCTGTTCTGAGGAGCTCAAGCATTTTTATTTGCGTCCGTGATAAGTGAAATCCTTCATAACAAAACGAAGAAATCATATGATGAATAAGACAAGCGGCTTAATTTTGCAGTGATTATGTCCATTCCGACGAAGTTCATGGTTAGAATTGCCCACCCTAAAGTGTTATACTAGTGGAATTTACATTGCCACATGGAATTTTGGAAGACACTGACTACTTACGCATCAAACCGCATCGAACTATCCTGAAATCAGTATGCATTTGGATAAAAAGAATACTATGCATAGTCTTTCAGAAATGTCACACTGCCTACAGTTAGTACTGCGTTTCTATCGAAGAGTAGCTTGTTGACATTTATCTAATTTGGAGATATGAATTATCTGTAACAAGAGAGGAAAGTCTTCAATATTATCATTCGATGTGCGTCGGTGGCACAGTGGTAAGAACTCTCACCGACCATGCACATGTTCCGGGGTTCGAGCCCCTGCCGACGCGCACCCGATATCTATGGTCGGCCTGCAAAATTTGGGCTACCGATATCCGTGCTGAAAATGCCAAACTTGTACTGAAAATACGGTGTGGCATCAAGCTGTAATCAAAAATAAAAAATAAATAAATAAAAAAATGATGTTTGAATATATTTGAAGTATAGGGTATAAATTTCAATCAGTGATATTAGACATGATTTTAATTGCCATAAGTAGCATGCAGGTCCCTCCTACTATACTTATATACTAGTACGCGTGTTACCGAAGTCATGTCAGTTGTAGCAATCACTAACTTTCAGATCACCAAGAAGTTCTGCATTTCTTCTGGAGGCACCCTTGTCTATGATAGACATGGAAGTTGCGCTTGCGACTGATATTTTTTACTACATCTTAAGAAATATGTGATCTAGTGAGATTTCGTAAAATTCACGTTGAAACGTGGAAGCATATATAGGTACGGGTGGCACTATGCCTTAAGGCATAGGTGATGAAAACGAACGTGACTTGAAACTTCCTATCAAAGTAATGGTAATGGTACAAATGTTTGATAAGAAAAGCATTCAGTAGAAATACTTAGATAGTATACAAGTAAGTGCTACTGAAGACTCCGTAATTACCGCTTTTTAGATGTGTAAACTATCATCCGTAGTTACAAATGACACCCAAATATGAAGGCATCGACTGCTTGCTTGACGGAGAATGTAATAAATGTGACAGTTGAAATCACAAATAAGTGCTGTCGTGAGTACAGAAGCAGGCTGTTTTCTTCAGGATCATTGTACATAATTTTATCACTAATTGTTCCACTACTCATATCACTCTGCCAAATAGAATATAACTTAGTTGCTCTAATATTAGCTATTTTTATACTTCATAACTCTTAAGGGAAACCTAATTTCTTAGTCTTTTGTAGTAACCCACTTGTTCACAAGTATGATGATAATACTGCTAACAATGTCCTCTGGTATTATTGTGCCATGTGACCTAATGGGAAGCACTTGTCATGAAAGCTGTGACGAATTATAATATTGATAACACTCTTATCATATATAGTTTGATTTACTTTACGGCTCCCTGTAAGACTAACTACCCTTCTTCAGGATACACACACTGCGGTATTGTTAACCAAATGTTAAAATTCTGTTGGTTCTGTGTTAATATCGTTTTATAATATGTGTAGACTGGTTACTTTGCAATGTCAAATGTTTACTATATAAAAGACTGTCATGATAATTTAGTACAATAAGTCCTGCCAACCGACCTTACCTTCAGTTCATACTACCTACATTGAAATCTAAATATAGTGTTCTGCTGAATCTTGCTCCACTATTCACAAAACCTATTCTTTTTACTCTTTAAGGGTTTAACATCTTATAAACTAATCTGTTCATTAGGATGCATGCACACACATATAATATGTTCATAAATCTGTATGTGGAGATCTATTGGAAGCACTCACTAAGAAAGCTAGGGAAATGGAATGTGAGGTACGAACGTGTCTGGAATCAAGCAATATATTTGCTGTAGCCATAACAATCAGAGCCTAACATCATAAAAGGAGGGAGGGTGGCGCATGCTGATCAGTAGATATGGTGGTGGACACTAAGGTGAATCGCCCCATTCTGCAGGAACAGCAATATGCAATTTGATGGCTCGAGATTTCTATGAGGGCTTGAATCTTTATCTTGAAAAAGATAATAATGATCGCCTGGACAGATCATGCTTCTACCTTTAAACATATACCATTCGGTCAGCCTATTGCTGAGATGCGACCACATGGGCTCTGCACAGATTTATGGGGCATCTTATAAATTAACATGCTTTCCTTTGTCGTATCTTCGAATATCACTTAACAATGTCTCATCTCATTCATTTTCTAATAACGTCTTCACTTGCTCATTATATTCCACTAAACCTAACATTTTATAGCTCTTTATGAATTTGATTCGACTTATTTT